CTAAACAAGAGTGTAATATTTCCACCTTCAAATCTAAATATTTCAAACTAAAGTCATTTACTAATCCCACCAGCTGTTTCTCTGATAATGCCTATTGTGACTAACTGGTATTTCATGGCCACTCCAAAATGCATCTACCATTCTGAGCATCCTTTTATCTACCTCCCTCTGACCAGGAGCATATCTGGCCACCAAAGCTCATCAATCCTATGTGTGAAATAGCAATTGGATTATGTCCCCATCTCCCCTGCCAGTGCAAGAGTTCCAGCTCTCAGCAACTTTCACCTTGAGTGTTGAAATGGCTTCTTAGTTGGTTTGCTGTCTTCACATGATTCTCCACGTGGTAGCAGAATTGTCTTTATGAAACGTGGACTGGTCATATCACATATATATGTTAACATTTTCAATACTGTTATTTACAAAAAATATTTTAATATGTTAAAATTATGTTTTAAATGTCCCCCAGAATTTGTCAGCAAACTCCCTTCCTGCCATAGTGTCAGTAAGCATCCCAACATCTAGATAAGTTAGATGCCTCTGCTTTCCCTATAGTAATGTGCTCTTGTCACATCACCATGTATACATTTCAAGCACCTCTCTTCCTTGTGCATTTCTAAGCATCTTTCAAATTTTAGTTTATATGAAGATGTTTTCAATCCCAGACTCAGAAGGAAGATAATCCATGGCATAGTCCAGTTTTGATGTTCCCGCATCACTTTTTTTCTACCTCATTACAAAATTTGCCAGCCAATGAATCAGTTTCACACTAAACTCCAAACTCCATAAGAATATTCTCTGCCTTACTCATCCTATTATTTCCATCCCTTAAAAAGCCATGATGCAAATAAATGGGAAATAAATACTTGTAAAGTGAATGAATAGTCATTAATGAGATCAAACATTTCAACTGATGTCTCTTGACAGTGTGGCTTTTAAGTTCAACCTATAAATTTCAATAAGCAATAGACAAAGATATGAAACATCAGTAAGTGAAGTTTCCATAGAAATCATTAGATCAGACAAAATTATAATGTCCCTAGTTAAATGCCCAAATCTATTCTTATAGATGCTGAATACCTGGACCTCCTTCAACCTCTGTTTAAAAGAGACATAGAGTTACTACAATGATGTCCTTTTCCTCATTTATTTTTTATCAAGCATTTTTTGAATACTATCAACATGACACCGCTTATGGATTAGTGGCTCAATAATTAAGAACTCTCTTGATGTGTCATGATACTATACAAGTTTATTTAATGTATTTTTAAATTAATTTTTTCTCTTAAATGGGAGTGTTTTGGCACTTGGAAATGATTCAGCTTTATCTTGTCCTATTTTAGATGTTAGGTGGTCCATGAATTTCCCAATGGCTTATATCTATTTTAATTACAATTATAAAAGAACTATTTAGTTGTATTTATACCCAGCAACTCTGTCTATAATATTCTTAATTAAGCATTACCTTAGCAGATTAATTAACAGAAGCACTTTTTCCAATTTATTTCTTGGAGCCTAAGAGAAATTTCAGAATCAAATATATTTTTAAAACCCAGCAGATGGCAGTACAATGCTGGCTTTAAGATTAAGGACAATAACAAAAAGAAAAAAAATGCTATTGAGCTTAAAGATTTTCCAAAAAGTTTAAACTTTCATTGTTATTCTAATCATAAAGAAACATACTGAAATTCTCACATCGCTCAGAAAATTAAAAACATATGTGGTTATCCAGTGGGCATATATTATTAGGATTGCACCTAAATTTTCCATGTCAATTTCTAGAAGCAAAATGTGCTTCTCAGTCCATCTCTATATTTAGCAAGATGGAAAGAAGCAGGTGAAGGACAGGACAGGCTGAGAGGTGTAAATTTATCAGAGTATGACACAGAACCCTGCAGGGGGATGTTTGCACCTTCCCCCTAAGAAACCCTGACCCAAGAAGCAAGGAAATAATAAACAGGAGAAAACCACTGGGTTTTCATGTTCAATGTACTGTGGATTTTAAGTTTCATTTTACTATAAAATAGTTTTCATTGACAAATTTTGTTCTGCAGGATGCAAACCTTACTTTCAACCACTATATTTTCAAGTCATAAGTTTATAAGTAAATGAAGTGGCTATTAGATACTGTAGATGATGAGATACATATTTTAGCAAATTGCCCCACATTACACATAGCAATCCTAGGAGGTGTAAATATTGGGGACTAAATTTCCAAGCTGTAGCATTCATTTATCAAGATTAAAAATCAACAAAGTAGGGGCTTCCTTGATGGCTCCAGTGGTAAAGAATCTGCCTGCCAATCCAGGAGACCCAGGTTTGGTCCCTGATCCAGGAAGATCCAACATGCCTCAGAGCAACTAAGCCCATGCCCCACCGATACTGAGCCTGTGCTCTAGAGCCTGGGAGCCGGAACTACTGATGTCCACGTGCCCTAAAGGCCATTCTCCCTCCACAGCAAGAAAAGCCACCACAATGAGAAGCCTGCACATTGCAACTAGAGAGTAGCCACGCTTGCCGCAACTAGAGAAAGCCTGTTCAGCAGCAAAGACCCAGCACACACAACCAAAAGCAAATGAATGAACAAGCTTTTTAAAAAGTCAACAAAGTCAGCATCGTATTTAATATATATGAAGAAATATGTATCATTTCTTCAAAATTTAAAACTCTAAGATCAATTCATAAAATGACATAAATATTTTTTTTTGGAAGTTGAAATAATTATAAGAAAGCATATACTTACTTGGGCTTCCCTTGTGGCTCAGCTGATATAGAATCTGCCTGCAATGTGGGAGACCTGGGTTCGATCCCTGGGTTGGGAAGATCCCCTGGAGAAGGGAAAGGCTGCCCACTCCAGTGTGCTGGTCTGGAGAATTCCATGGACTTAATAGTCCGTGGGTCTGCAAAGAGTCGGACATGACTGAACGACTTTCAGTTTCACTTTCAAGTATATACTTACCTAAATGACAAAGATTACATAATAAATATCCAAACACTGTACATATCTCATTGGTTGGAAATTAAATTTATTATGTGGGAAACTTTTAAATTCAATCTTTTTTTTTTTAAAGGAAATGTCTCAATAGAGTGCCCACCTGATTCAAGGCTATGTGCTGATGCTCTAAAGTGCATAGCAATTGATTTATTTTGTGATGGAGAATTAAACTGTCCAGATGGCTCTGATGAAGACAATAAAACTTGTGGTGAGTGATTAACTTCCCTCCTCCCTCCTCCCTTCTTTTCCACCCTCCTCACTGTGTCCACACACACACACACCCTCAGGTACCAGAAATTACTGGAGATTGAGATATACCCTTAGTCGTATTTATGATTTAAGACAAAAATCTAAAAGTAATTATATTAGTATTCTTAAACTTTATCTTGTTACATTAAACCTATTGATTAGTTAAACAGAATTCCATTTGACAAGCATAGAAAGAATGCTGTGGTTAATAATATCTGAGAGAAGAAAGTGACCTTATATTTCATCCATTATTAAACTGCTATGAATTATTATGAATTTGAATGCTTTTCACCATCATATCATAATACTGATCACTTTATTTTTTGTCATTTTAACAGTCTTTAACTCAGGAATCATCACTCCTTAATTCAAATTGTTGCTTTTTTTCAACCTTTGGCAAAGAAACAAAAAATAGATAAAAAGTGTAAAAGTGTTGTAGTTCTGTGAGTAAAGAAAATCAGTTAAGAATAAGATCTTCATGTCTGTTAAACTAAATATATGTTTTGTTTTGTTTTTTGTAAATACTGGCATTTGTTTAGAGTGCTAATAGTTGTGTTTTTTAAATCACTATTATTATTAGTTAACACTTAAGTAAGTCAGTCAGTCAGTCAGTCAGTTCAGTCGCTCAGTCATGTCCGACTCTTCGTGGCCCCATGAATTGCAGCATGTCAGGCCTCCCTGTCCATCGCCAACTCCCAGAGTTTACTCAAACTCACGTCCATCGAGTCAGTGATGCCATCCAGCCGTCTCATCCTCTGTCGTCCCCTTCTCCTCCTACCCCCAATCCCTCCCAGCATCAGGCTCTTTTCCAATGAGTCAACTCTTCGTGTGAGTTGGCCAAAGTATTGGAGTTTCAACTTCAGCATCAAAATGCCGAACATAGCTGTAATTTAAACATGTAGTTTAAATATGTAATTTAAACATATTTTTTCTTCAGCTTATTTCTTCATTTTATTGCCTGGGTAATATACACATGAAAGATTAGCACATAAATGATATACAATTAGTAAGTAATGTGAGGAACTATTTGAATAATTCTAACCTATACTTTGTTCTTGAAAAATTAAACAGCAGGAATTGAGCAAATTTTTGGTGTAGTTTATAATCAATTTAAAAATTAGCCGTGGGCACAGTTAGTTCCTGAAATGTGTAAAGGCTTTAGTTACAATTTACTTCACTTTGCTTGTCATACTTTGCTCTTTTTTTTTGATATGAATTGAAGACAAATGCTCCAATACTAACTGAAGTTTCAAAAATTACCTACCCACTCAGGATATACTTGAAAAGACAGGCAGTTGGTCTGTTTCCCAGAACCAACTCAAAAACCCAGCAACTTGACTAAAGTGTCTTCAACTAAGCACTCCTAGTTCAAATGTTCTTGGATGAAACCCAGACTTCAAAGTTTAACTGCGTACTTTGAAGTGCACTCAGGGCATACTGGAAGAAAGTGCAGGCTACAGGATATTTTTTAATCTATTTTATATAACTAAATTACTCAAAGAAGAAGAAAGTAGTGTCTTTGTTTGCTGTGGTTTTCAGGCAGCTTTCAAAACCTCTTCAGTGGGAATGTGGTACAAGTGTGCCATCATGAGGTAATAGAGGTGATGTTCCCCCAATTTATATTTCAAAAATTATGTGTATCAAAGTGAGCCACATACCTTTAAGTCTATTTGATGATGATCACTAACTTTAAATGGGGAGAAATATCTAAGATGTATAATCAGAAAATGAACCACACCTATTGTGTGCTCTCTACTGTTACAGAGTTTATGATTTTCATAGCAAATTAGTATCCATGCATATCAAATAATAACCATAGAAATACACTATATGTGGCAACTTGTCCTGAAGTAAGTTACAAGGCCATGAATTATGTTTCTGAGTCACTCTAACTCATGACATGAACTTCAGTATTAGAACTGAATTTTCTAATTATATGATTAATTATTATGTGTTTGCATTAAATACATAGTCAAATTGCATTATTATTTTTCAATATCATGAAGGTTTTGTGTTAATTGAAACACTATCAATTCACCATCCAAGTCTGTAACTTTCTGAAGCCTATAGATCCTTGTCTGTCACTTTTCTTGATTCTCTTTATTATTTGCACTTTAAAGTTAACATTGTATCTATTATTTTTGCAAAAACAATTTAAAGTCTTTGTGGAATAAAGAAGAGAAAAAAATCAATCAACTACTCTATCTTTATCCAGGATTTACAGTCATGTAGGTTGTTTTATTCATTATTTGGCTTCCGTGGTGACGCAGATGGTAAAGAATCTACCCACAATGCAGGAGACCCCAGGTTCATAAAGTTGGTCAGATCCCTGGATTGGGAAGATCCCTTGGAAGAGGAAATGGCAAACCACCCCCATATTCTTGCCTGGAGAGTTCCATTGCCAGAGGATCCTGGCAGGCCACAGTCCGTGGGGTCACAAAGCATCGGACATGACTTAGCGACTCACATTTTCACTCTCACACTTTCATTCATTACTTAACCATAAATGATTGTGAGTACTTCACCTCAGCCCCACCTCAAACTTGTGCTCAAATTGTAGCACAATTTCTAGAAGAAAGCCCTGTCCATCAATTTACATTCACTGAAAGATTATTGTAAGAGAACTATCCGTGTGAAATTGACCTATGCTCTCTCTTCTCTCCCTTATTCCTCCAGCTGTGAGCTCTAATTCTACTCAGTGTTATTAATAGAGTCATATTAATGTTAACTTCCTAAACAGCTTCCTTTTTAGGCTTTAGTTATTTAGGTTTTCAAGACTTATAGCTGACGATAGCAAAACCAAGATTTCTTTAAATTGTTTTTTTTCTTCTGATGAGGATTGCATCAGTAGGAAAGTTCACTTTTTAGCTGACCTGTGAGAAGAAAAAATGCTGACCCACACCCTTCAGGCCAATGTTCATGCCTATTTTGGAAGCTGGCAAGTGTCTCCATAGGTTTTTTGTGTCTCATGTGTACATGCAAAACAGACTTGGGCGGGTGGGCAGAGATCACTTTTGGTGTGTGTGTGTGTGTGTGTGTGTGTGTGTGTATAATAGTCACTCAGTCAGTCCAACTCTTTACTTCCCTATGGACTGTAGCCCACCAGGCTCCTCTGTCCCTGGAATTCTCCAGGAAAGAATAATACTGGAGTGGGTTGCCATGCCCTTTTCCAGTTTGATGTATATTCCTGGAGAATTCAGTGTGCTGAGCAAACACACTACTAAAAAACAATGAGCCAGCAGAGGGAGCTCTCAGTGGGTCCTAAGAACACACCTATATGAATCCCATTCCATTATAGTCAGTTTTGTATAGTGCAATAGAATGGCTGATAGTATAATATTGGACAAGTTCATTTATTTCCCACTGAGAGTTTTTTCTTAGCACCACTCTAAAAAGCACTTGTAGTCTAAAAAATTGTAATCCTGAATACTTAGTAATAACACTCAGCCATGGCTGGGTTATATCTGTTTTTCCAGAAGTATGCTGTTTCATGTCTTAAGTAACATTCAACTCAATTAAAACAGTCACTCAGTCAGGTAACTCTGCAGCCCCGTGGACTGCAGCGCGTCAGGCTTCTCCATCCATCACCAATTCCCGGGGCTTGCTCAAACTGTGTCCTTAGAGTCAGTGGTGCCATCCAACCATCTCATCCTCTGTCGTCCCCTTCTCCTCCTGTCTATAATCTTTCCCAGCATCAGGGTCTTTTCTAAGGAGTCAGTTCTTCGCATCAGGTAGCCAAAGTATTGAGACTTCAGCTTCCGCATCAGTCCTTCCAATGAGTATTTGGAAGCATTGTATCTATTATTTTTGCAGAAACAAATCCTTCCTGACTGATTTCCTTTAGGATGGACTGGTTGGATCTCCTTGCAGTCCAAGGGACTCTCAAGAGTCTTCTCCAACACCACAGTTCAAAAATATCAATTCTTTGGTGCTCAGCTTTCTTTATAGTTCAACTCTCACATCCATACATGACTACTGGAAAAACCATAGCTTTAACTAGATGGACCTTTGTTGGCAAAGTAATGTCTCTGCTTTTTAAGATGTTGTCTAGGTTTGTCATAGCTTTTCTT